ATCATCTGTGACTGAGTATGTTACAATTAATTAGCACAACAACAAGCTAAATGTTTAATGTCTACAGTAAATGTGTCTTTTCTATTTTAAAAGCTTTTGTTTGCATGTTTGTTTGTTTGGGGTGGTGTTCATCCAGACTGATGCTTTAAGAATAGAGGTTGTTCTGTTTTGAGACATATCTGTGATTTTGAGTTGCATTTAATATCATTTACTGGACTTGAATTGACTCAAAGCAGAGTTTGTTTTAAGCACAGCTGAGTCTGATTATGTCGTCCTGAGCCTGATAAGCTGAGTTTGAAATGTCCTAATAATATCACCATATAGCGAATTACCCAGTTTAATTCAGGCAACATCATGGTCTTTCTTCTTAGCCCCATTTACATTTTATACTCAAGTAAGGAGCTGAGAATATCAATTATTAATTGTTTTCTTGTTTGTTTTCTTTTTTGCTGGGTGACAGCAAAGAGTTAGAGAACATTTTACAGTCTTTCTCATATTTCTTACCATCATTATAATTATTGCTTTTACTTTTTCATGTCTAGATTTTCCACAAAATCATCACCAGTGGACACCAGCGTCTCCAGCCTCTCTTTGACTGCCTGCTCACCGTAATAGTTAACAGTGAGTATCACAGATAAAACATCCCCCCCTGGTGGCAGAATAGGTGAACTAAGTTTTTAAAAGCCTCCCTGCTGATCTTTACAGTTTCACCTTATCTGAAGAGTCTGTCCATGGTGGCCGCCAACAAGCTGCTCCACCTCCTGGAGGCCTTCTCCACGCCCTGGTTCCTTTTCTCATCCCCCCACAACCACCACCTGGTCTTCTTTCTGCTGGAGGTCTTCAACAACATCATACAGTATCAGTTTGATGGTGAGGATGTAGATGTGAACTCAACAGTATAACACTTTGCAGCTCATTATGGCGCCCCCTAACTAACTGAAAATCTAAAATCTCCCTCACAGGCAACTGCAACCTGGTGTACGCCATCATCCGTAAGCGAAACATTTTCCACCAGCTGGCCAATCTGCTGTCTGACACAGTGTCTATCCAGAGGGCCCTGCAGAGGAAGAAGAAGGCCGGGATTTCAAGGACTAACTCGACAGAGAACGAGTCCATGGAGGGCTCCAGACCAGCTGTACCTGCTGAGCCTGGCACCCTCAAAGCCAGCTTAGAGGCCACTCCAGGTATGAAGTTTGATTGTATAAGAACTTCCAAGGTCATTTTATCATAAAAAATAAAATCAGTCATAAAAACCCAGACTAGATACTAGAAAATAGATGTAATGTGTTAATTACTGAGCTTTAAAGATGCTGGTACGCAGATTTTGTTACCTTTGGACATAGCCAGGCTAGCTGTTTCCAGTCTTTATACTAAGCTAAGCTAGCCAGCTTCTTATATTTACTGGACAGACATAGGAATGGTATCAGTCTGTCATATTCTCAGAAAAAATATGGAAAAGGATATTTCCCAAAATGACTAATTATTCTTTTAATGTTCCATTTTTGTTTTGATAAGCTTTTTGAATAGTCTAGTCATCCCTTTTACCTGCTATTAAAACATATTCTCTTGTGTCCTTTAGGGATAGATAAGATAACAGAGAAGTCCCAGGTGAGTGAGGATGGAACCATGGTCACTGTCCCGAACTCAGACTCTCCACAGGCGAGACAACAGACAACAGACGACAGTGCTGCAGCTGGAGCCAGCGACACAGAGTCCAACTCCGAGAGAGACCACGAGGTACAGTGGAGAACACGTCAGTGATGCTCTTACTCTGTTTATGGTCTTACTCTGTTTATGGTGTTTTCTTTTTAACCCCTGTTGTCAGGTTGGCCACACAGAGTCAGAAGCAGCGAGGAGTCGGTTGTCAAGTGTGTCGTCAACAGTGACCTGGAGCGCTAATCCAGACTGGGTTAGTACGAGTCTTTTCCTCTGTATCTGTTGATGTTACCATCTATATAGAAATATATATATCATGCTACCTGTGTGTTCTCAGGTGTTGTCATGGAAGGCAAAGCTTCCTCTACAGACCATCATGCGGCTGCTACAAGTCCTGGTCCCTCAGGTGGAGAAGATTTGCATCGACAAGTAAGAAATACTCAGCGTTAATAGTCAAAAGCAAACGTTTTATTACTGTATAATTTAAATTAAATGTATGAAGCCATTGGTGCTAAGTGCATTGTTTTTCTCAACAAATAAGTGTCATCAAGACGTAATTGTGTTGTCTTTGTTGACAAAAGTGGCACCGCCCATTGTGCTAGATTTTCCAAGAAGAAAACTCAATCCAGCACTGGGTGCTTGGCTTCTATCAAAACATCAGCTGTAAATCTGTGGTGTGTTTTTATCTAGAGCTGCAATTAGCGATTATTTTCATTATCAATTCATTTTCTTAAGTAGTTGTTTTCTATAGAAAATGCCATAAAATAGTGAAAAATGTTTGTTTTAATTTCCCACAGACAAAGCTGAATTCCTTGAATGTCTTGTGTTGTCCGTTTCAAATTATATGACAAAGAAAAACAAAAAAATTTACACATTTTAATGCTGGAACCAGGAAGTCTTTAACATTTTTATTTTTAAAATATGAGATTACTTAACTTTTAAAGTAGTTGTCAATTAACTGTTGATCAGCTAATTGTTGCAGCTCTAGTTGTATCACATTAATTTCACATGAACAAGCTCCTGATTGTTACTTCAAAGTAGCACTAATCAGTTTTCTCAGCCACTTGGGGGTAGAACTCAACAATAAGCTAAACATCACACACACAACCTTATAAAGACGGTATTAACTGTTTACACATCAAGCAGACATGGAGTAATATGATCATTCAAAACAATAGTCAGACCAGTATTGACTGAAATATCTGGCTCTAAATGCTCCACTGAGTTCACCAGCTAGTTGCTAACTTTCTCTGTTGACTGTTTGGAGCTGGCAGGAGGCCCAAAGTGCAATTATCACACTGAAAACAGCTCCCTGCTCTGTGCAGCTCAGACAAACTGCAAAATATGTGAAAGTTCACAGTTTGTGACTATGAGTGACTCATTTCACATCACACACAGTGATTTGATCCATAGTTAATATGAACATGATCTGAGCTGTTGTCGTCCTCAGGGGTTTGACGGACGAGTCAGAAATCCTCAAGTTCCTTCAGCATGGGACGCTCGTCGGCCTCCTCCCCATCCCTCACCCTATACTCATCAGAAAGTACCAGGCCAACGCCGGCACGGCCATGTGGTTCCGCACATACATGTGGGGGGTCATCTATTTACGGTAAGAAACCTGAACAGGAGCCTGTGTGTGACCTGTTTGTTTCACCTTCTCCGTTTTTGATATCAAGGTGAAAATATGAAATGACTAAACAAAAAGTCCCCTGGTAGATTTATTTCAGACTGCTCTGACAAGTCTGAACAAGAATCAGCTTTTGGCCGTCACGGTTTTGAGTTTTCACAATGTCTTGTTTTTCCTCTCTTTTGCCTCTTGTTGCCGTAGTAATGTGGATCCTCCAATCTGGTACGACACAGACATAAGGCTGTTTGAGATCCAGAGGATTTAGAGGAGCTGCTGAAGGTGTCCGGTCGACTCCGGGATCCTGAAGTCAACAATACGAACGTCTGCCAGTTTACCTTCCACACACCTCAGCTCTGATCAGAGGAGCATTTATTTAAAGACAACAAGCAGACACAATCTTCATTTTTGTCATTTCTTCAGACAAAGTTTAGGAGAATGTGTCAGTAAATTGGTTACTGCATGTTCTGCGGAGCCTGTATCATGAGCAGATGCAGTTAAATTGATGCCAAATGTAATCATGAGACGTGATTTATTGAATATTTAATTATTCACTTTGCCAAAAAGATAGTTTGTGGAGGTTTTGCACGTAGGTTTGTGTTGTGTTTTTGACATGTTCAGAACACACAGAACACTTTCCGTTCATCTTTTTAAACTCTTTGCCACATGTGAACTACTGGAAACTGTAGACTGAAGGACGCTGAAGCCTTTCACATTGTGCTGAAAGAAACTACACATGGTCTTAATTGAGACTGAAACTCAGTGAGGTGGAGGACCACTGACTTTTCTCTCACGTCCTGACAGACAAAATGTTTTCTGTTGCTGAAACAACAAGAAACCCACTTACAGATGTGAATATGATATTGAATCCTGTCAAAATAAAAAACTGATCAGTTTGAGCTCAGATGAAGTTATTTAGACTCGTGATATCATTGGGTGTCTCACTTTTGAGAAGACGTCCCAACAGATTTTGGAACCTGGCTGCAGGGATTTGCTTCCATTCAGCAGTGGTCAACGGTAACAGTCTCCATTTTCCCAAGTTATGGGCTTGTGCACTATTTAGAGGTACTTGTAATCTACATGTCTACTTTATACTTTCACTTCACTACATCTTGGGGAAATATTGTACATTTTGCTGCACCACATTCATCTGACAGCTGTAGTTACAAGATACAGATAAAATACAAATAAAATACAGTGTTTTCTGGCTTTTTAGCAGTGCCAGGTTCAGAACCCTTGTCATATTTCAAATGTGATTTCCCCTCTAAACATTTCAGATGGTTTCATTTAAATACATTTTTGAGGCCCACAGCGATAAAATTGCTCAATATTTCGCAATAAATAGAGAATATTCTATCTATCTATCTATCTATCTATCTATCTATCTATCTATCTATCTATCTATCTATCTATCTATCTCCTAAAAGGTTAATATAATATTGTGTATCTTCTCTCCTCTCTTATTAATCATCTCAGGACCCCTCAGATTTATGTGCTGGCCCTTTGGAGGGGCCTGACCCCTGGGTTGAGAACTACAAGACTAAACTACCTAACTTGTAACTTGTGTGTAAAACCAGCTCCACCCCGAGCGGCAATAACAGTAACTGGCTGGAGAAGCACTGATGTCGTGTCAGAATCAACAATCTATTAATGTCAAATATTGTCATATGTCAGATACAGAGGAGTTTTACTTTGATTCTTTGCTGGACTTTCACTTGTAATGGGGTATTTTCACATTGCTGTATTAGCATTTTTACTCAAGTAAAACATCTAAGCAACTCAAAAAGCATTAGTGAAGTTCAGCTATGATGTTGGGTGAAAGGTCTGGCTCACAGTTGATGTTCCAGTTCATCCTAAAGGTGCTGGATTGGGTTGTTATATTAAAGCATGAAAAGGACAAACACAAACTGTTTGCACAAAGCCAGAAAAACTAAAATATGTCTAAAAAAAATCACTATGCTGCAGCGTTACGAATCTCCGTCTCTTGAATTAAGGGGCTCAGTGATGTCCACATACTTTTGGCCATATAATGTATATAAACTAAATTATTTATGAACGTCTCAGCAGTCAGACAGTCAGTGTTAGGCCACGGCTGCCCATCATGCAGAGATGAGCAGCTCCATCAAAGCTCCCACTGAGTGCATCCTGTAGAAGACGCTGAGCGGCTGACCCAGATTCACCAGAACAAACCAGGTGCTGAAGCCGAAGAACTGCTTCCCTAGGCCGTTCTCAAACTGGGGGTGTACTCCGAAAGCAGGTATGACCCACAGCTGAAAGAGGAGGGGACACTCGTCAATCACAGGAATGAAGACACAACAAAAGAAGTTGTACTACTTGAAAAAAGCAAAAAACATACAAGACTTTACCATGATATTACAAAGGATGAGGAAAGCACAGATTTCTTGAATCGCTCTTTTGCTCCAGGGCTCCTTCCCATGATCCTCCTGAACAACAGGGGGTGCTGACGTGTTTCCCTCCAGCAGTGAAATAGCTGTTGTCTTCTTCTCCTCTTGTGTTGGCGTGGTAATATTTTTCTTTGGCTGTGGGACAGTTTATCATTGAAATAAAACCTTTTCATGCTAATCTACAAAACATTCAAATAAAATGCAGGTACCTTAAAAATGTTGCTCCTCTGCCTCCCTTTCTTCTTGGTCAGCAGACTCGGGTGCCTGTGGAGGCCTTCAATGATGAAGATGTTCTGGAGGATGAGCTCCAGCAGGCTCAGGAGGGAGTAGGACAGCTCCAGGTCCGCCAGAGGAGCATTAGTCCCCAGAGCCAGGGCCGCCACCAGGGAGAAGTAGGAAAGGGCAAGCTGGCCCAGAGCTGCCGCCACCAGGAGGATCACGTCCAGGCTCCGAGTAGGGTTGTGTCCCCCTTCATGCGCTCTCCTCTCCAGCCTGTGGACCAGCATCCCAGCCAGGGAGCAGAAAGACATGACGGGCATGACGGCTAAATGGTAGCCGTAAAATATGAGGAAGGCGGTGAGGCGAAGCTGCCGCTGGCTGACCCAGACCTGGTAGAGAATGAAGACGGTCACTCCCACTACGAGGACCAGGCCGCCGAACACGAGGCCGTATATGATCCCGCCTTGGTAGACGACACGGAGGGTCAGCTTCTGACCAACGTGGTGACCTGGACCCATCCTGCGCCCCACGTTCTTCCACATCACGTAGATCATGCAGCCCGCCATCAAGTAGTACTCAATGTTGAAGGGGTAAAGGATCTCGAAGCCTTTCCTGAAGGCGAGGCAGGCTGCACTCGCACTACACTGACACAAGGTCGAATTACCTGGAGAAATACACTGATTACAATGCAGAGCACAAGGCAGCGATGTGTGATTATACCCATGATGTTTCCCTTTATTGTACAAAGATGTATTTCTCACAACCTAGGTAGCAAAATGAAACTTATGGCCCAACACATGCCTGGGTCCTCGGCCTGAGTCTGGCCCAAATACTTCCACATCTGTGTAGATTCCGGCTGTTATCTTTCGGTATTAACTGACAACCAGAAGATTTTCTGTGTGTGCGCCAGAATTTGTCCATATGTCGAAGTAGCACCTGACAATCATGCTGTGTATGGGCCAGATTCGGGGCGTGGAACCAGGCGTATTCTGGACCTGAAGAAAACAAGCATGTGGCCCAAGTATGGGCCGGATTCATTTTGCTATCTGGGAAAGGATCAAATCTTATCAAGAGTCCTATAGGTTCCTATCTAAGAGTCTCCTCGTATCTATTCAGACAGTTCGTCAAGGCAAGTTTTACTTCAACTTTGTTCTTGTCTCACAGGACAACACATAATCAAAGTTTAGATAGATGGATTTATTACCTCCGCCAAGGAAGTTGTGTTTTCACCCTTGTCTGTTTGTTTGTTGGTTTGTCAGCAGGATTACACAAAAAGTACGGAGCCGATATCCCCTGAACTTGGAGGAGGGATGGGTCATGGATCAGAAACAAACCCATTACATTTTGGTGCCAATCTGCATCATTTCCTATGAATTAGATTTTTTTCTCTGAAGTCTGGTGTATCTAGTTTGGCATTGGTCTTAGCAGAGGTCTGTGATCTCTAAACACCCTTCTAGTTGCAATTGGTGATTATTTGATGTGCCCTTAATCAACTGTTGAACAAAGTCGGATCTGTAGAGTTTTCTTCGTATTTTTCTCTGCAGTACAGCACTGTGTAAACCATCATCTCTGGTGTTACTGGCTTGTTTCGACTAGTTGGTAAACCATCTGAATCCTTATTAACTGGCTGCCATCAAAATACAGTTTTAAAAGTTTCATCATTGTATTTTTACTCATTTTATTACCTAAAGCACATTCCACTGTGTGAGGAGCTATTTTAGTGCTAACGTTTAATGAATTACTCTTGGACCAAAAACTTAGGAGTCCTAAAGTTAGAACTGACATGCCCATTATTTTGAAGAAGTTCTGCTGCTAACTTTTAGCCTTAGGTTGTTAAGTGAATACAGCTTCTACCTTCAAAATCAGATATGTCTGCTTCAGATGAGTTTGTGTTGCTGAAGTGAAGACTATCCTCCTTCTCTAACTCGATCTCCTCGTGGATGGAGTCCTCTGTGACTGAGTTCAGCCACAGCAGCAGGTCAGCAGAGAGGATCACCATCAGCCCGGACCTGCATCCAGTACAGCAGGTAAATATAAAAAAATATCTCTTTAAAACAAGAACAAATACAAAAATAACAAACACCTGAAGCTAGAAATAAAAACCATCCTTAACTATGAACTAACACATGTATAAAAATGTATAAAATATGTAAAGTGATGCACCTGGTGATTATCTTGTGTCTGTGAACACAGTCTTTGGAGTGAGCCCACAGTAAATATGTCTACAAAAGAAAAATCATCAGAAGAGGGATTAAGGGGTCATTTTTTGCATTTGTGGTTTGCCTTAAGTACTGAACAAAGTTGCTTCTTATTGCGTCTCATAATCATTAAGTGATTGTTTAATCATTTCAGTTCTATTGAATCAGCCCATTCCTTAGTCTAAAGATATTAAAGATATTTGAGGCTTTAAATTTAACATTTTGCAGATTTAGAAACTGAAGACCATGAGATGCAGGTAAAAACTAAATGCTGGTAAGTACACCTATGAGTTAAGACTATTTTGTCACACAGATTCTGAGTCTATTTTTAAAGGATCAAATTGTGGATTATGAGAAATGTTACAGATGTTTGTGGCATCTTTTTTGTCAGCACAAATTCAGCTAATTCTGATCATTTTATTTGAACCGCGCCTGCTGCCCGCAAAACTGTAAAACTTTCACTTTTCATATTTTTCTTTTTGTGTTAATCTAAATAAAGCTAAAATTATAAATGTAATGCATATTTTTTTGTGTTAAAGTGAGACCATGCAACTTTGTAAAGGAGCTTTTTATACCTTTTGCTATTGCTACAAAGCCAGCGTTAGCATTAACAGCAGTTTTCTTACCAGTCTTGGCAAGAGCTTTGACCATTGTTGCGTTTACATTGCAAGAGGTTATAATACGTCCTCTGAGCAGTGCTGCTCCTTCAGGACAGACTGGACACTACAGTGACTCGGTATCAGAAAGTGAGGAGACAGTCCGACTGGGCCAGAGCTAGCTGGTTAGCATGCTAACTTCAATAGAAGAAAAGAAGTGATAGAAATAGAAGGAAAACAATAAGGTTGGTTTCCACCACTTGAGACAGCTTTCTTCTAGACTGGTAAGTAAACAGCTGTTAATGATAACGTTGGCTATGTAGCAATAGCAAAAAACGTAGATATAGCTCCTTTAAGAAAAAAATAACCCCCCAATGGAGGGGTTGTACCAGTTGAGCTACAATTTGTTTCACCATTAGTCAAATAATGTAAGATGTTAAGGTGTTTTTAATTCAAAACTTAATATGTGCAGGGCATAATAATTTTCACCTGACCACCAAATTGCACATTAAACATAGAATTAGCAGTTTCCATTATCAGGCAAAGTTTGAACCAAGAGCTGAACCATGTGTTTCCATCCACCTGTTGTATGCATATTTTCAATTTGTGCATAAAAAACTTGAAAGTTGCTGTGTTGATAAAAAACAAAATGTGACTAATAGATGTAAACATCAGAGCTGTGTGGAGCGATGAGGAGACTTTAACATCCCTCAGATTAATACATAAAAAGATCATTCAGTAATAATGCCACATTTCTATCATGACAAAAACACACCATCCTCCATTCAGCAAAAACAAACAATGCATAATCCTACATCCATCTTTTTGTTTTAACAGTCCCGATCTGGTCTGGTTTGACCTGTTATGGCGGCTAATGTTAGAATATCATTGTGTCATGCTTGATTGATGATTTTCATCTACTGTTAATACTTTTGCACTTTGTAACAGCATTTAGCATTAGCCTATAATTAGCTCCTATGCCATAATAGCTGCTGTTGAGCAAAGGTTGCATGGCAGGCCTAGTCCACTTCTACATGTTACAACTGCTATGTGGCTTCACAAAGTTCAAGTTATTCTACAATCAAATGTTGCCTAACATTTTTCTTTCTTCAGCTTTTTGTTGTTTCCTCAGTGATTGATGTGGCGGCAGAACTTTCTTTACCTGCAGCACGAGAAAGGGAGCCTCTATGAATGGAGAGAGCACTTTAGCAGCAGGATTACACTCCCTCACACTGAGCAAATAACCAATCCTGCAGATGTACAGCAGCAGACTGGCAGCAGCAAAAAGTATCAGGACCACTGGGACAGAAAAAATGGATATTTCAGTAAAAATCCACAACAAATATTGTGTAGATTTTGTCATATAATGATGATACACTGGAACTTACAGATGACAGTGATTCCCCCAGCATGGTGGTCTTTATGTGGGCAGACCCCTGGCTGTTTCCTGGCCCACAGCAGATACCACAGCATCCAGATCAGACTGACCCCCATCAGCAGCAGCATGAACACCAGGGGCTCCTGGTGCTTCAGGCCCTCTGGGTTAAAGGTCTGACCTGCCACCAGAGCCGCCCCCAGCAGGACTATATTCATCCCAAGCAGACCAGAGATCAGACGCCTCCCGCTGGGAACCCAAACCAGCACCGGATCCAGCTCCTGGTCCTGAGTCTGGTTGTCTGGTTCATCTCTGGAGGGACTTCCTGGAGTCACCCAGGAGGAATCCAGCTCAGTGGCTCCAGAATCAGGATCCATACTCACCTTGTTTATTCCTTCTAAAGACTCTCTTCTCTTCCTTTGACCCTTCTTCTTCTTCTTGTTTCCATTCAGGTTCCAGAGTTTTCCCTCAGTTTGCTCAGCCGTTGCACTTCAGCTGAAACGTTCAACATGTGAAGACGTGCATATAAAAGTTGCTGCAGTTGTCTTGATCCGCCTTCCCACACTGCTGTAGGTGTGGTCATGATCCGGCACATTAATAACAACACACCTTTCATATGAAAAGCCACAGGTATCATGTTTACTCTTCATGTTGACCTCTGTTTTTCACCTGCTGTCCGCTGGAACAAAATTAACTTCATGGCGCCAAAGGACCTGAACACAATCTGTGTCAAACTCCAGTGGAGGCTTTCTTAAAGTCAGCCACGTTATTTTACTTTGAAAGTCTTTATCAGCTGGGTTGTCTGCCATGTTGTGTCACTGTTTGTGTACGGCCCACACCAGGAACTGATTTATAAATGTGTAACCTCAGTCTTATCGCTGCACTGCCCCAAGTAGCAGCTAATAGTTGAGTCAGAGGTGATAACCTGCAGCAGCTGATAATACTTTTGTTTTAGTTTCCGTTTAATTTAAAGGTGGTTTTTCATGTTTTAGCCCATTTACAACAAATCACATGCACGTTGTATCACTGCTTTAACTTCAAACCACATAGAGGTTTGATTTTTATAAAGATGAATATAAATCTATTTCTTTTAACGCCAAACGCCTGATCTTTTTTCTAGATAACAGAAAATGCAGGAACCTAATTGTGACTAATTACTTTGCAAATAAATATATTTTGTTTGCTCCTCCAACATTTAAGTCATTCCACATGGACAAAGTACATAACTTCATTATTTGAGTCAGAGTATAGATACTCCTGGTCAAATATTACTGCAATACAAGTGAAAGGTGTTCAGTAAAATTTTTTACTTGAGTTAAGGTACTGGAGTACTTAATTTTAAAAATACTTAAGTATTCAAAAGTACATTTTTTTTATGTCAACACATTGTTTAATTGGTCCACATTTACAGAAACGCATGGCTTCGAAACAACCTCCTGTCTGACTGAGTGTAGAACCTGTAGGATAAAAAGCTTGGAGGATATGTTTCAAAGCCTACAGAAATAGTCATAAAAACGCAGTTTTCATCTTTTTTTATTTTTTTGTCAGTGATGAAGTGTGGTCGTGGTAAACACAGCAAACATTTAAAACTAAATGAATCTTACTTCATTTCTAAACCTTCAAACACAGACTTCAGATCAGACCATGGACCAAGAATCTCCTGCTTCATCTTCATGTTCATCTAATGTCGCTGTCGTTAGGACACTGACAGGTTCACACTGAGCTGTTCAAAAATGTAGCAAGCACAACATGACTGAGAGAGTTGGCTGTGATTGGCCTAACATATTTTCAAAATAAAAGAAAACTCATTCCGCTGACTAAAAGCTCTGCTACTTCATAGAAATGTAATGAGTCAAAAGTACAATATTTGTCTTTCAAGTGTAGTGGAGTAAAAGTCATAAGTTTCTGAAAAGAAATAATGCTCAAGTAAAGTACAGACATTGAAAAATAAACTTAAGTACAGTACTCAAGTAAATGTACTTTGTTACTGTCCATCCCTGACCCAGACAGGAAGGTTCATTTTCTTCATTAATAATAATGATAAACTTAGTACTTTTCTTAACAAAGTTACAAAATGCTTTATAAAGAAATAAAACCAGAAGAGGCGAGTAAAATGAGAGTAAGAACATGAGCACAGAGGAAGTGAAACAAATAAAATGAATAAGATCAAATAAATATGTCAAACATTTCTAAATGCTTTCACAAAAAGAACATTTTTAAGAAGGGTTTTAAAAGAAGCTGAAGACTTGGTGTTAAGAAATTCCACAGGCTCTAATATTAAAAGCCTGATCACCCTTTGTCACAAGCTGTGACCTGGGGGCAACCAGGGGCTCCATCCATGGAGCTCAGTGGTAGTAAATGCATACACCAGGTAAATAGTCAGGAAGATTTTAGGAGAAAGGCCTGAAAGGTGAGAAATAAAATTTTAAAAATCAAATCTACATTTAAAGGGAGCTGCTTTTCTTTCATATTTGGGTTATATTTTATTTGGGTTTATTTTAATCTGGCTAAAAATGACAAAAAAAAATGAGTAAACAGGACACACAAAGGCCAGGAGCAGCACAAGTGAAATGACCCTCACCTCCATCATAAAACCTGGACAAGTAAAACCAGAACCTTGTCAATGGATCGATTCCACAAGAACTCACCTCAAAAACTCGCTGCATGCTCCGTGGCAGCTGGTCCAGGGATGATGGAGAGTGGCAGCCGAAGGAGCATGCCCACTATGTAAATTAATACATTTTTTTGATTTTCATAAGTCTGTCAGAGATGTTTGCTTTAATCACCACACTGAGGACACAGGATGCAGGGTGTGTGTGTGTGTTCCTGTACACCTGCCGCTCAAGTGTGAAGTCAGGTGGACAAGAATGAGTCAGTAACTGATAATATAGAGTCACTTTACTTATCAGACATACTCGATACACATCAATAAATGTCTCAATTTAAAAAATGTCAGCATTCAGATCTGCCCTACAAAGCCAGAATACAGTAACTACATATTCAACGGTTGATCAGAATTTAGTTAACACCAAAATCAAACTTGTTGACATTTATTTTTCCATATAATATACAACATATATATATTATTTAAACCATAGAAATAAAGAAAACAGCATGTTATAGGTGCAGTGACAAAAAAAAATACAACTAAAAAACAAACCAAACTAGAGATTCTATTCTATTCTAATCTATTCTATTCTATTATTTTTTCATTTAACATACACCACCAAAACAAGACAATCACTTAAAATTATACATGCAAAGAAAGTAAGTGAAAAAACATCTTCACATTATTACAAAATGTCTATTGATATGAAAAATGTCAAAAAATATAAAATAGTATAACATTATATTAATAAAAAATTATTACATTAGATATTTAATAATTAGTATTATACATAGGCCTATTTATACAAATATATAAATGACATTACACTACATCAAAAAAATCTAAACTATAAAAAAAACAAAAAAACAATTACAGTGCAGGGATAACCAAATAAAGCAGTGCAAGATTTACAGTGATCAAACCATTAAAATAATTCAATTAAAAGAAATCTAATTTTAGATGAGCCTTTTTTAAATTTTTATCTTTTATATTTTTTATTTTATGACAAACCATCACTTATTTAGAAAACAACTACACTACCATCAGTTTTAATCAAGAATGAATTCTTTACAGTTTTTTACAGTGCTACACTCTGTACATTCTGTTTCTCATTCAAAATAACACACATCAGACCTACCTAACTATCAGAGGGGGCGGGGGTCATTGCTTTCATAGCCCCGCCCCTCCTTGACAACCAGCACGCCTCGTTCGCCTCATAGCAACCAGCCTGTCAGCCCGCTCCGTACCGCTCCACAGGCCGTCCGTCCGCCCGCCGAGTCCCGGACTAAAAGTTGGGGCAAACATCTAGATCCTCCATGGAACCGAGCTCAGAGTGAGCCGGGCCGCCGAAGCCGAGGGCGCCGCCATGAACGACAGGTACCACCGGGCGGCCAGTGACGGCTACCTGGACGTGCTGAAGGAGGCCACACGGAAGGAGCTGAACGCACCGGATGAGGATGGGATGACACCGACCTTATGGGCCGCTTACCACGGCAACCTGGAGGCGCTCCGGCTCATCGTGGGGAGAGGGTGAGTCCAGAGACCAGTGACCAGTATCTGAAAAGTTCCCTGCAGAATCCAACCACCCATCTGAGCAGCGAGTTATTTCCGCCAGTCGGACAAATGGATTTCTGTCAGTAGGCTAGGTGATTAAATCTAACACTGAGGGTAGCTGGGGGTCACTTTTCTTGTTATATGACAAACACCAGTCTTCTCTTCAGTCAGTTTCATTTTAGAGGAAGATCTTCTTTCTGTTTTGTCATAGTTTTTAACTTTTTATTGTATTTTTATTATCATTATTAACTTATTTTAGTCAAAAATCGTTCACATATTTTAAGAAAGGTTCTAAAATGATAGCAATATATAATAATATATAAAATAAAAATAATTAAGTAATTAATGTTAAATGTAATATATAGCCTTAAAATTATAATAATATTAATAATATAGGCTTATAATAATATATATATTTTAAATCTAAATGTAGGCTATAAACAATCAATAAACAAGTCACAACTGACTATACTGTTAACAGAACGTTGTGATACTGTATTATCACATATCCAAAATATTTCTTATCACTACAGCTGCAACAATTCATGGTTTAGTCAATCAATAGTAAATTAATAAACATTTTCAGCATTTTTGAGAAAAAAAATACCAAAATTCTCTGGATCTTTTTCAAATATATATTTTCTGATTTCCTTAGTCTTCTATGTAAGTAAATTATTATCATTATTAATATTATTATTATTATTTTATTTTATTTTATTTTATAGATGTCACTTTGTGATGGGTATATTCCATCATTTTCTTACATTTTTCAGACAAATAACCAATTGATTAATCAAGAAAATAATCCTCCTATTAATTGATAATGAAAATAATAAGCCCTAGTTATCATCAAGAATCCTAAATCTTAATTAAACACAAAGTATTAGTTTATTTATTGTATATTATAACTTTTCCTCACTGATCAGTGCCTGCTTGTTTTAACTAAAAATTAAATTAAAATTAAATTAAATAAAAAAATATTTCCACCCCCATCTCTGATCTAATCAGTGCTGCTGGAGATGCAGGGTTTTACATTTTGACAGCCTAATTACAGACAAAGGTCACTTGCAGCAGGATAGCCCCACTTACTGCTGGAGCATGTGCAATACACACAAACACACACACACACACACACACACACACACACACACACACACACACACACACATGCTGATTGAGTAGGATAACACTGTATGCATCTGAAGCATGATAACTTAATATTTAATCTTACCAGTGTGGCTCAGGCTGATCCATTACATGGCAGGTTAAGCTCTAAATCTGATTCAGTTACAATACAGAAGCCATTTTTATACCGATCAATTACTGAAGGGTCTCCACGTCTTTACAGAAATGATCAATGATATGATCTCTGCTCTGAAAGCCTCATGTGCCCTTATCAGAGAGTGTGCGCTGTGTATTTGTAAGAGAAGGGGGTTCAGGAGTAAGTCTATATTCTGCTGAGATAAGTTGTACGTAATAGATCAGACAAGTCTTTTGTTCAAGGTTTTAAGAAGCAGACAAAGCAGTGTGATATTTACTGCCTGTTCTCTGTGGAGCGCAGAGTCCAGTTTGTCATGCTGCTGGTGGCAGGTTTATAAGGCGAGCAGTAAAGCAGCTGTAGACACAGGAAAGGTCACAGTGATGGATAGAGCATCTTCCTCCTGCCACAGTCCCTGCAGTATGCAGCGCAGGGCGGATATGAAGCAGAGAAACACGACTAAAGCTGAGCTGCAGATCAGAGTTCACAGAGAAAGGTAAATGAAGGAAGAAGAAGGTTTAGAGGTTGCAGTTTGCAGAACTTGTTTTCCCTTAAGGGGCTTTGAGCAGCTTTTCTGACTTTATTTCCCTGATCTTATGTATTTATTTTATTTAATAGCAAATAGTGACTAGATTTAAAATTTTTAAAAACTAGCAACAATGTGACACCTGTGAGGAATATAAAAGAGTTTTCCTGCAAAACCTTTTTTAATTTATCAAAAGAAGCCAAACTAATGCAGCAGCTGTAAAGTAGTCACATAATGTTACTAAATAAATCTGTAAATATCTGATTAAGGATTAAGAAAACATACAAATTTCGTCAATTGATTGATAAGTTGATTGAGACCAAGCCATTTGAAGTCGACACCTTGATTAGCAATAATGAAAATAATTGCTAGTTGCAGTTCTGTTTGGGGACTTGCAAAGCTAGATCTTGTGGCTCTCCATCCAGCAGATGCTGTTATATTCACTGGATGCATGAAAACTTTGACCTGATGGAGGCGCTAAAAGAAACTGACCATCCTCTGAGGAACATGAATGTCCGTACAAAATGTCATTGCCATCCATACATTAGTTATTGGCATATTTCAGTTTGGACTAAAGTGGTGGACTGACTTTGCAGTCTGTAGTCGTGCTGCTATGGGCTAAAAACAGGATGGTGCTCCAATCGTACTGTCTGGTTTCTTGGTCTCTAGGAGATGAATAAAGCTGCCATGTGCAGTCTGCTGTGTGTCATGGGAACTTAAGTTTTCTATACTCAGACCAAAATAAGCATTAAGCTTCTACACTCAGCTCTTCATGCTGCTAGTAAACAAGCATGTTGTTTGTGTGGTTGCAGGTTGATGAATGGCTGCTGTGTCACCTCTGACTCAGCTTCTGGCAGAGCTGCCGATGGTCAAATTACTAATAGAGATAGTCAGGTGTGATTCCTCCTTCATGTTCCTACAGTGACACATTTCTCACTCGCACCTTTGGAATATGATCTGCTCAATATGACGCTCTGAGCCCTTAAATAAACAGCAGACTTTGATGCTTCACAATTTAATGTTATTCGCATACTTTGCCAGGATGTGGCTCTGCAGACAGGAGCTGAAATCAGGGTTTGTGCTGGTAAAGGTGGTGGCCCTGCCCTGTGGTTTGTCTCTAGGTGTCTGTGAAAAAAAGACTTGGTGTGTGGGATGAATAATGCAGAGTCACCTCTGCCATGTTTAACCGGTAGCGTTTCAATTATTGATCAGGACTTGGCCACTTGGGTGGAGGGAAAACAGGAAGAGGATGGACTTAGCAGTGAAATTAGTTCCTCCCTGTGTACCCACTGGGTACCACTTTCTGATAAGGCACCACGAGTTTATAAACTGGGTTATCTTAGCATAAAGACTGCAAACAGGCGGAAACAGCCTGGCTCTGTCTACCAGCACACCAGACACATAGTGAGATCCCTCCAGTGAACTGGCAACCCAAACTTTGTTCTTAATGAGGGCTTATAAATGAGCTATAAAGCATTAATAAAAAAAATCATAAACCAGTAATAAAGCCATTCATTATAAACCCTTTATAAACAGTAAATATTGCCCTTTCATAAACTGTACTGTGCTCTCTCAGATGCAGCATGTGGAAATGTAAACATGCGTCGTGTGTCACTGAAACAGAATTAATTTGTAACTAGAAGCTAAAGTTTAATATGTGTTGTTGTTAATTCTGTTTTTGCTTGCACAGCATTATGGGTAGTCCTTTACTGATATCACAGCCATATTTCCATGATGTGTGGCCAGTACTGACTACCACTGAAGTTTATATTACACTCCAGCAGCAGGTGCTAGACTTCAGCTAATAACAACTGTAGGCTCACCCATAATGTACTGTAGACATCCGGGCTACAAGTAATGATTTTATTTTAGACATTTTTTCAATTAAATGGTTAATCATAATCATTCTCATCAAATTTAGACTGTAAAAGGTCAAAAGATAATGAAAACCAGTCCACAAGTTCACATGTGAATAGGGGTACATACTTCATAGGAGTTCATACTTCCACATACTTCTGACCACATAATGTGCATAATGTGAAATAAATGGACTAAAATCTGCACAAAACTGGTATGCTTCTTTTAGATTAGCAACAGAAATCATTTGTGTAAGAATACTGTATGTATGTATCTAGTAACATGGAGATCCAACATGGCTTCTTGTCCCCTCTTCTTCCAGAGGTGACCCGGACAAGTGTGACATCTGGGGTAACACACCGCTTCACCTGGCAGCTGCCAACGGCCACCACAACTGCCTGTCCTTCCTGGTGGCTTTCGGTGCCAACGTGTGGTGTCTGGACAATGACTACCACACACCGCTGGACATGGCTGCCACCAAGGGCCACATGGACTGCGTTCGCTACTTGGACTCGATCGCTGCCAAGCAGATCACCCTCAACCCAAAACTGGTCAGCAAACTCAAGGACCGGGCTTTCCGTGCCGCAGAGCGCCGGATCAAAGAGTGCGCAAAGCTCCAGAGGAAGCACCGAGAACGTATGGAGAGGAAGTTTATGAAGGAGTCGGCGGCTTTGGACAACCTGGATGCTATTAGCTTTTCTAGCTACACCAGCAGCAGCACGCTGAGTCGCAAGTTCAACACAGTCACCTCCAACATGCCATACTCGCAGGTGGTTTGTCTTTGACTTTGTTTTAATGTGTAAGGCAATAGAGAATCAAAGTCCTGCTGTGCATCAGGATTAACATCTGCTCCACCAGCTTTCAGTCGACAAGTCCTCTGACCTCAATGACAAAAGCAACAGAGTTTCCCTGCCAGATTTAAACCAGAGAGCATTAGGGTTTATGGTCAGCATTTTAAAAACCAAAACCATGACGGCTTTCCAAATCACATTACTGAGCATTTTCTCAGTTGCCAACTGGGTTAAGGTTTAGTCAAGTTTAGTTGACCAAAACTACTTAGCTAAAGTTGGGAAAGATTGTGTTCATGGTTAAAAACTTAGCTTAGGGGCCAACCATGCCCATAGCTTAAATTAGAGCTACTTGATGAGCGTTGGGGAAAGATTGTGGTGGAAGTAGGTGGGATGCAACCAGTCGTCTCACCTTGTGTTCAAAGTCATGTGTCTTGTTGACTCATCTGTGTATTTTCTCATCTGCCACCTCAACAGCTAATGTTCGGTTAAGTTTAGGCAGCTAAGACTACTTTGTTAAAGTTGGAGAAAGATTGTGGTCATGATTAAAGGAAATCAGTGTTTATTGTCGGTAGGAAAAGGGATGTGAACTCTCACCAAACTGATTTTTTACATTGCTGGATTTACCCATTCAGTGGTATAAAAGAAACATTGCTTATTCAGGGTTTCTAAATGTATGCTTTCTTCTCAGGCCACTCTGCACTCCACAGCCAAGGGCAAGGCCAAGATACAGAAAAAGCTGGAGAAGAAGAAGCAGGTTGACGGAACGTTCAAGATCTACGAGGATGGGAGGAAAAGTGTGCGCTCGCTGTCCGGCCTGCAGCTCAGCAACGATGTCATGTTCCTTAAACAGGGCACCTATGCCAACCCCAAGGAGAGGTCACGCCTCAACATACGTGACATGTTCCCCCGCGACAATGATGACGACGCCGACACCATCTCCCGTGCCATGAGTGACCCAGGCCTCCATGAGGCTGCGTATTCGGAGATCAGCGCAGACTCTGGTCGGGATTCCCTGTTCACCCGACCTGGGCTTGGCACCATGGTGTTCAGGAGGAACTATATGACTGGGGGCATGTTTGGCATTGGGGCACGGGATGAGGGGAGTGTTGCAGGGAGTGAACCTGTGGGCCGGGCACCTAATGTTCGTCTACGTGGACATCTGCCTCGACGCTCACCAAGTTTTGATGAGGACAGTATTGGTAGCGCCTTGAGCCTGCAAGAAAGAAATCTGCAGGAGTTGCCTTGGGAGGAGGCTGATGTTGAGCTGGACGAGGACATGGATCCAGAGAACAGTCCTCTCGAGACCTTCCTGGCCTCACAAAGCCTCAGCGAGTTCATAGCAATTTTCAGGAGGGAGAAGATCGACCTGGCGGCTCTGTTGCTTTGTTCAGATCAAGACCTCTCCAGCATTCACATCCCTCTGGGCCCCAGGAAAAAACTGCTGGATGCCTGCAAGAGACGTCTGGACACCATAGATGAACCAGAGGCCATTGAAGACACTGAACTTTGAAGGTCAGTGTGTAGAAATCCATGTTTTATTTTAAAAGAGAAGCACCATTCTTCACTCTTCATCACTCATTCCATTCCAGATAAACCTGACATGAGGTACTGTGTTTGCATGCATCAGCATAGCCTTTGGATGACATTTATTGGGGGATGTCAGAGGACATGAATCAGACTGTGGGTGGCCTTTGTTAATGTTAAACTTAAAATCACACAGTGGTAATAAAAAGGTATTCAGAAACCTTTCAACGATACATTAAATTCATAACACATTAAAGTATTAGTATTTTATTATCAGACACATTATATAAGAAGAAGTATTAGTATCTGTGTAAACGGTTGAAGGGACTGCTACGGCGTGATGGGATGACGTAGATTCTATCTTGAAACTTCCTACCATTGCGGCCCAACTGTCTACTACGGGAGAAAGACTAGTGCCGTTACCCTGTGATATGTTAAAGAGTAAGTACGTTTTTGTCATATTTGACACTGTCATTTCATTTATATTCAGTTATACTGTTAGTAGTTTTATGGATTCTGAGTATATTTGTTAAAGATATCTGCTAATTTGACAGATTTTCCCAGTTTATTCATAGACATGTTAAATTAAATTGTCTCTAAAGTAAATATCATGAGCTCTCAGGCCATTTTAAGAGACATATTGTAGCAATGTTCAAAGCGACCTCAGATTCTTAAGGAGGGAAGTATCCTTTGTTGGAGTTAAATGTTGCTTAGTGATCTTTGATTTCCACTACTACACCAATGCATTGGAATGTTAGTGGGCGCTGTAGCCATCACTTCAACTGTTGTTGCTTAAAGTCACTAACTATCAATTGGTATCATGTGAATAGGAATCATATTTTGTGGAATTGGCCACTCCTACTTTTGAATACATGATATTTAGAGCAAACTCCCAGCATTGCTCCACCCAACTTCAACCTGAGCTGAGATCTAATCAGCCAGAATACCTGAGAACACCTGTGAGGGAGTGCAGCGGAGCCTTTTCCATATGAGACACTACAAAACCAGATACCTGTTTACTGGCTAAATAGCACCATCTTGTGGCATATTTGTGCTATAACAAACCAAGGTTTTAGAGCTAGAGGCTTAAAAGCCATTTTAGTTGCATGACACCTGTTTTAATATTTCATTACATTTTTTATCGGAGTACAGTCATACGTAATGTTAGTTTGACTCTTTATTCACAGGATGAGGTCACTGTGAAGTTGTTATGCATATTTAATGCTGGTTCCATGTGATGTTATTATTCCCTGGTACAGTCAGTGGAGACAACATGGACTCTTGGCAACTGATATAAGCTTAGATAGGAGGTAATAAACATTTTATGGTTAAACTTTGCCACATATACAGACAGATGGAGACACATTGCGTTTGTATTTATTCTCATCCAGTGAAATTTATCCCGACTGTTACTGTAACACTTGGTCGTATTAATTAACATATTAGTGAATGTACCTAAACCTCTTAACATGTTATTTATTGTGTCTTTGTTGTACAGTTTTCTTACTTTAAATATGTTATTTTACTCCATGGCACATACACAAAGGTGACTATACATTCATGATGTGTGAAAATAGCCCCTGACCCACTGTTGCTCTGCAAACTCTGTTGCAATAGTAAAAACAAAGGGGTGTTACTGTGAGATTATGTCAGTGTGTGCTAGATAACACTCTTATCTCGGATTGCTATTCCGTCTCACTGAAGGTCTCCCTGCCTGTGCTCTGGAGAGTATGGCTGTGCATGAATGTACATTTTTATGTTATGTTTTTGTAATAATCATCTGAAGATGTACCCACAAACATAAGTATCTTTTATTAAAATAAAGTGAAAATTATTATAGTTTTGTGTGTGATTTTATTTTGAACCAACCAACCAGTGTTTACTGAATAAGGCACATGTCTATATGTAGTATATCTACTACAGTAGGGCTGCAACCATTGTCATTATAAATCATTTAGTTTATAATGTCAGGGATGAAGGCCATTGGTTGAAAGTAACTAAATACATTGTTTTTTTTTTACTCCACTGCATTATTTGATAACTTTATTTACTTTGAAGATTTAGATTAATATTATTAAATATTATCAACATATAGATTACGATGTATTATTATAAGCTAAGATGCATCCTTATTGATCCCAGGGGAAATTTCCAGTATTTAAGGTCATTAAAATTAGCTCCACCATTACACTTTAATGTATCAATAATTATAATCCAGTACTATAACATCTTCGCCTTTCTGATAATGAGGATTTTTAACCTTTTGAACTTCCACTAAAGTAAAAACTTTGAATGCAGGTCAAAACTTTTACTTAAAGATACTTAAGTAAAACATCATCTTCACAACATCTTCTTCTACCTCTGTCCAACTGACATCTTCAAATGTGAGTTCAGAACCCAAATATATTCAGTTTAGGATGACATAATACAAAGAAAAGTATCAAATCTTAATTATTTAAAATCCTGAAAACAATTTTGGTATTTTTGCTTAAAGAAATGACTTAAATCAATTATCAGAATTGTTGCAGCTCCACACTATGCCTCTGCAGCCTTGAATATGTGTCCTTCTCTGGACAATAAGGCCTGACACTGACAGACAATTAGTGCTTGTGTGGGAGGATGTAAGCCGAGCTGTCAGACTGCCTGGTGTTCATATGTTCCCCTCTCCGCAGTGTCTGTTGTCCTTTGGAGTAAAAAATACACACACCGTATCTTTTAAAGAGCACACTGCAGTCAGCATGGCCTCCAGCCCAGAACACTGGCCTCTGTCCAGAAAAAAAAGAAGCAGCTCTGACACCAGATATATGCACGCAACTCACATATACTCTCACCTGCGCCAACATATAAACACACCCCATCTATCAGGGCACATTCCTGCACTCCAGCATCTTCTCCTTTTCATTCTGAACCTTTCCCCCAGTAAAGAAACAACTAAACAGCCACTGTTAATCCACTTCTCTCAGCCCCCCCAGCCCGCCTCCTTTCTCCCTCCTTTCCCAGGACATTTGCCAAGGTTACAGAGATGGGAGGGGGAGAGGAGCTGACACAAAGTGGGGGTGAACGACATGCAGAATGTATGAGACAAGAAGAGAGGAGGGAGAAGTCGAGTCCGAGCTGAGCAGCTGCAGTTTTGTGTGTGTCTGCTTCTGTGAGGATTTTTAGATCCATAACGTCACATGGCAGCCTTACATCTTCGTGCCATGGGACAATAAATTCCTCTGCTGCTAGACTGCATCAGGAGTCAGCTGACAGAGGGGGGAAAAGAAGAGAGGAAGAGCGGTGAGGAGGAGGTAGAGGAAAGGAGGTTCCACGAGGCTCTTGAAGTAGCAGGAAGGGGGCTGGGCTTCTCTGACAATGCTTCACGCCAATAAGGACTTTCGCAATGCTAACCTTGACCTGTGGACTGTGCAGTGTTTAGCACTGGCTGCTTGCAGGAGGACACAAGCTGCATGGTGACTTTTTTGTTTGTTTGTTTTGAGCCAGTTCATCAGCAGAGGCAACTGACATGCAGCGTGCACCGGAGGAGTGGAGGGAAGGAGCAGGGGATGAGACAGTAGTCAAGAGGAGGAGGGGGGATTCAGAAGACATGAAGGGAGAGTGGAGGAAGAACGCAGGAGGACCAGGTGTGGAAGAGGTGGAGAAAGAGACGCTTATGATGGAGCTGACGAGGATGGTGCAGAAGATGGTGAAAGAGAGCAGCTGGTGGGAGAGGAGGGGGATCGATTGCAGCATCCTGGCAGCAGCATTCCTCTGTCTGCCTCCCGGTAAGACTGCACAACTTCACACAGCTGCTGGGATCATGGGTCACCTCTGTCTGTCCCTCTCTCAAATGTTATTAAAATTAAACAAACGTACTTTTTTTTCTGTTAATCAACTTAAATTACAGCTATTATACTGGTTCTAAAGTGCTAAATTGATACTGAAGAACACAACATGTTCTAAGGCTGCAGTTAAGGATCCTTTTCACTATTCATTATTTTTTTTTCCGCCTAATAAGTCTATAAACTGTCAGGAAGTAACATTAAATATCTCATTACAATCCCTTCAAGCCCAGGGTGACGTCTTAAAATTGCAATATTTGTCTGACTAACAGTCCAGCTAATGATTGTTTTCATTATTGATTATTTTACTGATGATTTTCTCCACAAAAGAGATAATTTTGTCTATGAAAATGTCCATTATGAGCTGCCTAGAGTTCCTCTTATGTCAGAAAATCCCCAAATATTCAGTTTACTGTCATAAAAGACAAAGAAAACCATAAAATAAGCTTGAGCCAAGTAGAAAAAATATATACATATATGTTATTGATTGTTGCCAGTTAATCTTCTGTCTCTAAACTATTCAATTAATCAACTTATGTTTAGAATAATCCATTTAAAAATCCCTTATAAATGTCACAAATAAAATCGACTGATCACTTCAGCTCTAATTATCTCTTAACAACTTTCCAACTATGAACTCAAGCTGCAGCTCGTTCTCACCGTCTCCCCCCAGCCCGACACTGTTGTCACTACTGGTTTGCACATTCACGGTATCCCATGGTTCCCGTGTATCTGGGTCACTGGTGGTCGGCGACTGACCTCAATTAGGCCTGGTGTCCACTGTGCCTTGTGTCACTCGATCATTGGGAGCGACAACTTTTAGCAGCACCACAAGGACACCTGCTTCAAGCTTGATTTGTAATCCAGACTTGTTGATGTGTTTGCACTTAACACTCCCTGCTACTGCATTCTTAATGCTGGAGCCGCAGCAGCTGCTTCTCTTTTTTAATTGACTCCCGAAATTTTTATTCCTGGTGCAGAAATGTTGACTTCTGGGTTGAATTTATTTGCAGACTGAGGCTGTGGTGGCATCTGTCATTGTGTATCACCGAGCTTGTGACTTATCACCTCGAAATAGGCTGCTTTGAAATAGGAGGTGGAGTATATTAGCACCATTTTATTGGGTTAGGAGGAAAACATGTCACCTAAAGCCTGCTGCGGAAGCCAGAGAAGCTTCACTGGGTGTAGCAGGGTTATTAGAGTTAAATACAGCCCCGCTGATGCTGCATTTCATTAATTATTTAATGTGAGGAGACTGAGGTTACTTTATTGTCAAGGTGTTAGTATAAATATTGGATTGAATCAGATAATAAAAGTTGGAATGCAGGACAAAGTGATCAAGAAAATCCTAAGACTTCAAATGCATTTTCTGAAGACTTTCCTGAACAACGTGCTGAAC